CCCCCCCCCAGCTTCTTGGGATATTGGCTAGTTTAAGTCAGTGGCTTGTAGACTTTTCTGCTTGCAATCCTCCTCCCCAAACTCACACTTCTGAAATTTTGCTTTTATGGGAATTTTTAATCCCATTTTAGTTTTATGATTGGTAATTTGGGATTTGATGGTTGAGTCTCACGTACCTTAGCCTTACCCACCTCTCAGATCAGAAGCCAAAATGTGTTGCTGTCCTTTTCTTTCTATTAGATAGTCTCCTGACTTTCTAACTTCTCTTTTTCACCCTTGGTTTGTGGTTCCTTCGCCCTGTTAATTACCTAGCAGAGAACGAGAAAGGACTTGGAGTGTGGGTTTCCATCAGATGGCCTCAGGACACACATTCGCTCTCCTGGTAGTTGTGTGTTGTAAGGGAAACTTGAGATACTGGGTTCTTACGCTTTCCAGTCTTGTTAGGAGAGGTCTGGGGAGCAGGGACTGCGGGATGGATGCGTGGTAAAGATCCGTGACTTCACCTTCATACGTTTAAATATACCTAGTTTTCATTTGCAGGAGCAGCGTACCTTTTTTGCATCTTTCGTTGTTTATTTTGATTGTTTTCCTTGCATTGGTGTGGCTTGCCACCTGCAATGTTTTCCAAGAATGTGGGAGTTTGCGGGTTTTTTGGGGTGAATCCTGAAAGGCTTGTGTTGCACGTGGTCATCCTTGAGGACCTTGAGACCAGCCCTGGTGCTTCTGCCTCTGGGTGAACGGGGAAGTTCTAGCAGCTGGTTGAACATATGGGTAGAGATAAGCTCTAAAATCATCATCTGTCTGCCTACTTGAGTTCTTAAGAAGCATTCTTACTTGAAAAAGAAAGCTTCAGTAGCTTTTCCAAACTGTATAAGACAGATTTTTTTATTATTATTTTTTTTTACTTTGAGGGGGTCTAGGTATATCTTGGTTTTAAAGACAAAATTATCACAACTTCTTTTGGGACTTTAGTTACATTTGATTCCTACAGGCAGTTAGCAGTAATCTAAAAAGCACTTAGTTTTGAGTGATAATGAACAGTAAAATAATTTGAGTCATAATTTACAAAAAGGAGCAGGAGTTTTCAGTTGTTTTCAGAAGTTTAAACTGTCTTGAGGATACGAAAAACACGTTAAACACTTGGTGCAAGAGACAGGCTTATTGATATAAATTATATAATGCAGTTGTCACAAGAGAAAAATGGGAATAGCACATACAGTTACTGAATCACAGTTATTTTTAAATACGTATTGTTGTGAAATTGATTGTTGACTTTAAAAAAAAAAAAAAATTAATTTGTGCTGCCATTGGCAAGAGGTTGACTTTTGCCATTGTGGACACATTTCTTCCACTCCAGTGAGGTCATGTGTTTCATCTCACAGCTTTGAAAAAGAAAAAAAAAAAAAAAAATCTGATATGCAGATCTAATGTGATTATTCCGTGAAAGCAAAATCTGTATTTGTTCCTCATTTTCTGTATCACGGCATTACCTGTTGCGCAGCACGGCTCATATGGTGTGTGTGGCCATCCCAG